TATTTTTTCGTTGCCCCCCTCTTAAGACAAGTAAAATTTTCAAAGCCCCCCCCCCAGGCAAAACAAGAACATAAATCCCCCCCCCCTCTAGCTCTTTATCTTTATTTAGAGAAACAAAAACTCTAGCTGTTTATTTTAGAGAAAGAAAAATAGGTAATGGGGACCAATAGACATTCCCATTATAGACTAATTTTTTATCTTAGCAAAAAAAGTATATTCCCGGGAAGGGCATACTAAAATTAGCCAAATTCCAAAGTTTGGTTGCAAAATGTTGTAAAATATGTAGAAAATATAGCCTTCCAAAGTTTGCAAATTTTGTATTCTTTTGTATAATTGCAATTTTCGCATGCAATACAAAAGTGTACAAAATTTGCAAACTTTGCAAGGCTAAATTTTCCGTATTTTGCAACAATTCGCAACCAAACTTTGCAATAATTTACATATTTTAGTATGCTCTTTCTAGCTGTGGTGATTTATTTGCATCAAGGCCGGGTTTTGAGGGAAGTGTGGAGAGGTGCGCACCTCCCCAGAGATCGTTTTGCACCTCCCCTGAGAATTTTTCCACCTCTCTTGAAAGGTCATGCACTTCCCCTTGGAAAAGTTTCAATGATGGAACAAAGTGAAAATGTGATGGTTGCTTAGGATCTACACTTTGTGACGTAGGAAAGTTTTCTCTGTAAAATTGAAACAGTGATAGCCATGTCAAGCACCCTTTTAATGCAATGTTTTGAAAGAAACAGTGTAGCAATTGTAATGAAGGGCAAGATTGGAGTCATACATTCATAATTCATTAATACACTGGTACATATTATGTACACTACATGCATACCTCACCTCGTTGATATTGGCCTGTTCTACAATAAGCCCTAACTTTCCATGGGAGTTGTGAGCTAGACCGCTGCACCTCTCCTAAAATTTTTGTCCACCTCCCCCACTATTTTCACCAAAATCCGGCCTTGATTTGCATCTCTTTGCCTAGTTCTAAAATTAGTCTATAATGGGAATTGTCTATTTACATGAACACGAGAGACTTTTTATTTGACTTCCATTTATGAATATTAAAGTCTATAAATATTGTTATTTGTTGTTAAGTTGTTTTGTGATACATTTTTAAAACTACTGTTTTTTCAAACTGGTAAATATTTTCAAAGCCCCCTTTCTTTCGTCTCTCTGTATTTTTTCAAAGCCCCCCCCTTTTAGGTTTTGAAAAATTTAAAGGCCCCCCAGTTTCTCCTCAATCCCCCCCCTGTACAATAAATAATGAGCGGTCCCTTAACACGAAATCAAATATAAAAATATTTATATACATTTGCTAGTTAAAACTATACTCTATAGCAATGTACTTAAATGATACACTTAAATGCTGCTCATATAGTTTTAGTTTTAATTTAGGCTTGTACAAAAAATATGCTGTAAAGCAAAAGTGCTCGCGGATTTGACTTCTATTATTAAGCAAAAGTGCTCGGGAGTCGGGTTGTATTTGAGCGCATAAAATCCGAACACTTTTGAAACCATAAAAGTCTGAGAACTCATAATACCCGCGAGCACTTTTGCTTTACAGCATATTTTTTGTACAAGCCTAAATAGCCTCCGTTATATAACCTCAGTCGAGGGAGATTATTTGAGAAGGATACCCAACACCTCTAACCCAACACAATAGAGAGTTTAAGATACCCCGGTTTCGGTGTACGGGTACGAGTAGTGTCATCTTGTTTTACTGATGTCTGTAATTCGATCATACTTTTTCTGTTTTCTTGCAATAGACAATGATATAGTGCGAAAAATGTGCACCTTAATTACGAGTAAAGGTACTAGACATCGACAAAAATATTGCTAACCAAAATCATGCTACCCGTACCCATACACCGAAACCGGGGTATCTTAACCTCTCTAATAGCCAAGGCGGTCGCGCTCATTTTATCATTTCTTTGCTTGAGCAGCACAGAGCCACATAGCTGCTCAACACTGAATTTCTTTAGATCATCCTCCCCAGTTTTTTTTAACACAGTCGAGTGTTTCTTTCTAAAACACAAATCGCTAACTTCCTGGGAAATGATGTCAAGCAGTTTCTGTGTATAACCACCTTGCGGCCGGGTTGCATTTCATATTACTGCCCGGCTGCCGTATATAGAGGTCCATACAGTAACACTTTCCCCAATGTATTGTAGGTATCACATACAGTTTTACTCACAGTTCCAAGGAGTAGGAACGAAATATGGGACGATAAAAGCTGGGTCCATGGATTGTGTCTTTAATAATAATAGTGTAACTTTGAGCCTCAACTAGACAACAGCCGTTTCATAACAGACGTTTTTGCAAATAAATAAATCGTTACTGTCAGAATATTGTTCACATCAACATTTTATACTGATACCTTGATCAGATCAGCTATACCAAGGGCACTTCTCCCGTCATACAGAATATAAACAAGTTGATTATTTCAAACAGGCGTGTAATATATTTTAACAGCAGTAAATATTGAGATATATTTAGCACTGAACAATTAATTAGTCACTACTGAATTTGGCGGGAAGCATACGTCATGCCGTTTCCTGATTGGTCAAGTTGAAACAATCGGAATGGAATTTGTTGTAGACTGCGAGCAATCCCTCTATTTTCCTTCGTTTTATTGTTTCCCGGACTAAGATTGAACGCGCGGGAAAATGGCAAAAAGGGGCGGAGACGAGAGGAAAAATAGAGGGATTGCCGCTTTAACTAATTGTCAAGCGTGTTTGATTTTCCCGTTGCACAGACAACGGGAAATTCTGATTGGTTAAAAAACAATAAATATTCTGATAACATTAAAACCCATCACTCAGCTGGCTTTATACTGTAAACACGCATTTAGCGAAATTAATATCTATCTGGCAGCGGGAAGCAACGAAAATTGATACGTATGTAGTTGAAAGTCTTACAACAAGCTTACAGAAACAAACGCTTGCAATAGAGTGCTTACTTGAAGGTAGAGATGTTCTAGCTGTCCTTCCTACGTGATTTGGAAAGAGTTTCGTGTTGGCTGAAGATATTGGAAGGGTTTGTTCAAGCCCAACTAGTATTATAGTATTTAAGTTGTTCCTCTTCGTAGCATTACTATTATTGATGAACAGTTACTTATAGTATACTAGCCGTTCTTATAGTGGGATCAAGGAAACCAATTTTCAGATATTTGTGTATGCGTCTGCTGATGAAGCTTAAATTGAGCCTTTGTCTCTTGAATTTGTTGCCTTGTTGAAGAATAAAAGCTCGCCATTCAGAAACGAACTGCCCTCATAGTCGTTGATGAATTGGCAGTTAGGCTAACTAATACATGGTGACTTGGTGAGTTTATGGAGTTTGGGTTTATTATAATATTGTATGTCTTTGTATTAAAATATGTATGTATGTATTGTATATTGTATGTATTGTTTTGATCTTAAATGGAATAGTCATGTTGACAGTATCAATGTATCTAAAAGATTGCATTTTTTATATTAAACTAAACCTCTATGCCTCTATGTTTACAAGCTTAAAATTTAAACTTGAAAATTGGAAACATGCAAATGTACGTATACGAATGCTAAAACTATTAACTATGAATTAAAACGTTTACATGTAGAACTTGCGATTATGAATGTGTTCATGTATCTATTAGTCTTAATTATTGGAAAGTCCTCAGGGATTAATGTGCAGACAGTACAGTATTTGAGTAAATTGAGTTCAAATCCGGCAATAGTGCCGCGAAGTTTGTGATTTGGATCTTCAATGATTTCAGTATCCGTTCAATGTCTTTATTTACTCAGGTAATTTGGGATTCCGTAATGAAAAACGGGCGATGCATATTCTACTATCTCGGTCGGATGCAAGTACAATAAAAACAAATCATCTCAGCAGCGGGTACATTCGCACGTTTTAACTAACGTAAATTACAAACACTCCTTGTAAATCTTAACCATGTAATTCAGCTGAATAGCTGTATTAAGTTGGTAATTTTTTATTACTGTAAACTATTAATATATATCAAAATATTGTCGCAGAAAGTCACAGTCTATAGAATAGACCCTTCAATAAACCCTAAGACCCCTTGCCTTGCTTTATACGTTTTCCTGCCAGACAAATTCTGATTATGAATATTCATACTTGCCAAACTGAAATTTGAGAATTTAAATACACGTTGTTTGATGGTTTTACACTAAGCGAATTGAGTGATTCGAGATCGCGCCTTTCAAGAGATGTTTTTGACCCTGTTTTGAAATATAAACAAGTAGGCGGAGCTTAATCAAACACGCTTGACAATTAGTTAAAGCGGCAATCCCTCTATTTATTAGGGATTGCTCGCAGTCTAGATGTCAAACGTATTACAAAACAACAGTATTCTAGCGATTTATGGCCTTTGAAAATCAAGCGAAATTGTATTGTTGATAAATCGTTCGCAGTACGTATTGTTAACAAATCACTCGCAGTACGTTTGTCTTTGTATTTGTAATGCCTAATGGCGCAATAAGAATAAAAATGCCACCGTTCGATTCAACGTAGGAAATTGTACATACGGATGTCAAATGTATTACTAAACAACAGTATTCTAGCGATTTATGGCCTTTTTCTTTGAAAGCCAAGCGAAATTGTTTGTTGACAAATCGCTTAAAGCCGGGTTACAGTCCGTTCTGCGCATCGGTTCTGCTCATAACAAAGGTAGACTACTGGATTTCAAAATTGTGCAAATTTCGCATGTTTTGTACCCACCCTGTCAACTTTCCCTGTGGGAGGAAACACGGAGTGCCCGGAGAAAACCCACGACTTTCGGCAGAGCGTTGACTTTTTACTCTTTTCACATGAGGACTGGGTTCGAGTCACATTGAGAAGCTCTCACTGAGATTCGAACCCGCGGCCTTAGAGGTGAAAGGCAAGTGCGCTAACCACTTCGCCACCGTGAGATTAACTTATTATTTTAATCGGTTAGCGGCGTTTTCACAGGTGCTAAGCCTCAGTTTTTCGTGTTATATTTTATAGTTTTGAATTGTGTGATGAAGATGAGTTCAACCCTCAATTATGCACATCAACGCCCAAGAGAGCAAGAACAGCATTGTTTAATAATTCCCCTCATTGCTGTACAGAAATTCCAGGTAAACAGTGCCAGTGGACAGTGGTCAAAGACATGGCATAATTTTAATTCATTTTACTGCAACAAACATCAGTTGTATGTGATAAAGAATTAATCTAGTCTCCATTGCTTGGAATACTGTGGCCCATTCATGCTCTGAGAAACGTCATACCACTTGTATGTACATGGCAAAAACATATAACATCTAAATGAGTTTTACCTTGATGATCCAGTTTGACTAACTCACTGGCATTCATTGCGGGTGAGGATTTGGGTTAATGTTAGGGTGATATCCAAACCAGGTTGACATCACCTGCAACAAATGCCTGTGAGTTAGTCAAATCGCCTGTGAGTTAGTCAGTCAAATTGCCTGTGAGTTAGTTAAATCAAAACATTGGTAATCATGGTAAATTACAAATTAATAACAGGAAATTAGTGATTATACAGTATCTCAGGGCATTTGTGGAACCCCCCCCCCCCCGAAGAGCATTGAGCTCTTTCGACCCACATACTTCCATGAGCTTTCAGGGACTGTTAATCATTAATTCTCCTCATGTAATGGTATTGCTTGATTTGCTTCTTAAATGTACTACTTGTCATCCCTTTAGCCCAAACAACACCTGATAAAACAGTAACAACTGAAGAAATCCATGAAAACATAAACATATCAAGACAACGTGATGTTCAATCTTCTTCTGAACAAGTTTTTCTAGACACAGTTGTCAAGGAAAATAGCCTTTCAGAGTCAGGATACTTATTGCTAGACTCTGACAGTGAGACTGCCTCTGATAGCGACGATGATGTTTTCTATACCAGTAGAGCAGTAGCAGTGAATATGAAGAAGACCCAAACCCTGTCATGGATCAGTTTGATATTTCCTATGATGATGACCTTTTTGTTCATGAATCTGAAACATCTGACTCACAATGTAACCATGATGAAACTTGTGTTGAGCCTATTGACATGGATATTACATCAGAACTGGAACTTGGAACAATTGAACTGGATGTTGCTGTCAATAACCATACAAGACTAATTCCCGAAAATTATTACAAGGATATGGAAAAAGATTTGGATAATGAAATGAAGTTTGTTACTGAAAAAAGATTCATATGTGATGTCTCTAAAATAAAGAAACTTTTCACATCTTGTATGGCTAAAGAGTGTCATGCTCCAATTGAGCATGTTAACGAGAGTTTTGTGGGATGTGCTTTGAAGATTCAGTGGCAGTGCATAGATGGTCATTGTGGAGACTGGCATTCAAGTGGAATTTAAAAAAAGGTATATGTAAACAACATCCTGCTTGCCTCATCACTACTTTTTTCTGGAAATAATTTTACCAAAATTTCTTTGATGGCCAATTGCTTGAATTTAGCCTTTTTTGGTAAAACTTCATTTCAAAAGTATCAGAAAAATTACTTAGTTCAAGTGATAAATTCTTACTGGAAAGATATGCAGAATAGAATGTTCCAAAGCTTGGAAAACAAATCAGTTGTGCTGTCAGGCGATGGTCAAATGGATTCTCCCGGTCATTCAGCAAAAAACTGTGTGTACACCTTGATGGAAGCTGAGAGCGATTATGTTATTCATCTTGAAGTTGTAGATGTGAGGCACTGTCAGTTAAAAAGTGCCTGCATGAAAAGGTTGGATGTGAACGAGCACTTGACGTATGTATGCAAAAGGTGACGGTTGATGAATTGATTACTGATGCCTCTTCTCAAGTTATTAAAATGTTAGGTTAGTAATGAATTTTGTGTAATGCATAACCTGGTATTAACTTTTCCAAGCTGCACTGTGCCCTAATGCGCCCTACTTTATGGCATATGCTTAGTAGTGTGCACCTTGCCCACACTAGCATTTATGGGAACTGGTCCTAGCACCAGCATTGTCAGACAGAGAGTGCTGACTGTCAAGATGAGCATGCTGGCACTCAATGAGACAAGACAAACTTTTTTGTTCAGATGCAAACAGCAACTCCCAGTATATTTATACTATGTATATTGCTATTATTTCCGAGTTAACATTGACAGCTCTTCTTGTTTCCCAAACAGCAACAAATCAAAAATACATCAAGGTTAAAACATCAGCTTGATATGTGGCACAAGAGTAACAAGCTAACCAAAAAGCTTCTTGAGGTTTGTGAAATTACTTAGCTCAAGTTTACGAGTGCGCACTGTTTTGTTTCACAAATGCTAAAGAGTGCTCAATATCAATAGAGCAGATATTGTAATTTTTAAATCCAAAGGTTGCCACCACAGCCTGTTTCATCCAATAGCCAGAATCATGTATGAAACAGCCTGTAGTGCATGGCAACCTTTTGAAATAAAAATTACACTATTAGGGAGCATTCATTTTTTAGCTGGGGGGGGGCGGGGCGGAGGAACTGATGTCTAATTCCATGCTAAAACTTGGAACCCCCAAGAGAAAAGTTGATAAAAAATTATGACCCCCTATCTTTTTACTGAAAACTTTTTGACCCCTCATCCTAACTATTAATAATCTACACGGTGTCGTTTCCGTAGCATTTCAGGGCTGTAGGAAGCTCTTTTTATTGGGGGGGGGGGGCTGAAAGTGAGGGCCGAATGCCCGAGGACATTTTTAAATCTAGAGTCTCTGAAATGCCATTTCCCGGACTTGGGAGAAGATTTGACAGAATTCTGATGGTCAGAAAACAGCGTTTTAGTATGTCGAAATTGACAATTTGGTAGTACTAAATGGGCGAAGGCGTATTTAATTAACTATATATTGGATAACTAGGATAAGTTGCAGAAAACTGTGGGTACTATCTTCATTTTTTGCAGTTTGTCATGGATAATGTAGCCGCTTAAAACTAATAAATCTTAAAATTGATAAAGGTCTGCATGATTTTGAAATCATGCAGACCTTGAAATCATGCATGATTTTGAAATCATGCTACGGTCCTGCGTTTTCTTTCATTCATGTTTTCACACAAAAACGGATAAAAACGAGGTCAATTGACGAACGTCATGGAAATGTTTTCCTATGGACTGTGTGAACAGAGCGTCAAATGAATTTTGCTTCATTGTTATAGATGACGAGATAGTTGATAGATTCTAGACTTTTTTACCATTCTTGATCCAATTATTTCCAAATTCTATAAAATTATATTGGTGATTTTTCACTGATTATTTTTATGACCCCCTCCATCTATAACAAAACTATAAAAAGACCCACCGCTTTGAAGCATGTCAAAATTGGCTGACCCACCCCCAAATTCCTCCAGCCCCCCTCCCCCCCCCAGCTAAAAAATGAATGCTCCCTTATTATTATTTTTTTATTATTGTATCAATTAGTTGCAAGTGCAATACATGTATATTTCGTTCATTTAGGCTGCAAAGAAGAGAAAATGCAGTTTTGAAGGACTGGGTAGCAGCAGTCAGAAACCATTTCTGGCATTGTGCCAAAGAATGTAATGGTAGTTTAAAGAAAATGAAGGTACAAATAGTAATCCTACTTTACTCTATCTAATGTCAGCCAACACAGTGGCCTAAATATCTCAATAAATGCACATGTTCATTATGTGTAGTTGCTACATTATTTTTAAAACGAAAAACAAACATGCACTGTTCTTGCTTCTCCCAATTTAGAGAATGTGGATCAACCTACTAAAGCATGTTTGCAATGTACATGAATGGTATGGAGGCAAGTGCTCGCATGGACCACTTAATGAAAGTGACCACACATGGTTAGAACCAGACTCTCCACCTCTACAGGCCCTTCGTGAAATTGTGCTAGATAAGAAGTTTCTGAAATCATTTCCATTCTACACAAGCTTCAGGTAAGCTAGTTGCAGTTCATGTTTCACATATTTATACATAAAGTCAATAAATTTGGAGAAACCTTTCATGAAACACTCTACAGATTAACAGAATACCTATAAAATTTAATTATGATTGTTCAAACATATTGGAATTGATAGACAAGCAATAAATTTAAATTTTTTTATAAATAGGCATATACATATGATAAGTTGTTTGAAATACTGTACATGGGTAGACAACATTTGGCATTCAAAACATATTCATGCTGTGTAGCTTGTTGTGATGTTGTTCCCACATTTTAGGCACACTGGTAAACTTGAAGCCTATCATAGCCATAGACTAATGTATGCTCCAAAAAGATGTGGTTTTTCGTAAGTACATATATCCATTATGTTTTCTGAATACGGTACCTATTGCATTAAAAAAATGAACGTCAAATTGGCATAGTTAGGAACTAAATCCACTTTACATTACTTAATATAAAATACAGTCTGTCTTTTTTTACAGATACCAAGGCACTGTTGCCAGGAGTTTACTAGCAGCCATTGATCATAACCACCACCTCAATAGAGAAAAGGCGAGGAATGCTAAAGGTGAAATTGTGTTTTCTCCGCGTTGGAGCAAGAGAGCCAAACGGTGGAAATTGGTCATTGTGAAAGAGGCTAAAGACTATGCATATATGCCTATATATAATGTGTGCTAAAGTGTTGAAAGCTTTGGCAACAGAATCTCGGGAAAAGCTTACATATGAGCATGATCCTGTAAAAGTTGCACCCACCATAGCACCATTACCAGCTCCACCTACTTCACAACTTGCAATGGAACACAAAACTAGATTTTAATATACTTTAATCTTTATAACCAGTGTATTGTCCATTGGGGGATGGGTAATACTTTCGAATTTCCCAAACACAACATGAAGGTATGACTCTTCGATGACCTTTGCCTAAGTGCCCATGCTGCCACATTATGTACTGTCTATAAGCAGCATGTCTCATAGCTCGATTATCGTAAGTGGGTGTGAATACGTATGTATCACCCATGTTCCGAATTGCAGTAGAAAGATTGTCAGACTCTATGCAACTGTTATAAAATGCCATTGATTTTGCCCTGCAATTTTTCTTTTCCTTGCAACAAACTTCTTCTTTAGATGTTGGCATGTTTCTGCAGTATCCACAAGTACAATTATAGTTGGTAGCACGTCCTGGGAGTTCTTGTTCACCAGTATTGTTGTCAAGAGATGATATGAGGTCTTGCAGCTCTAGTAGCCTAGATTGGAAACCCCTCTTTGCTACCTCCAAGACTTGATCTGGAGTTAGAGATGCAAGCAAATCCTGCATGGATAAACAAAAAAAAATGTTAGGAAAGTTATGTCTTTCTATCAAACACCCATAAACCCACTGTCTCATTTGATGTTAGAATGAAGCATGTTGTGGCATTACAAACAATATGTATTAACAAGAAACTCACCTCAACTGAGAGTTCATTTACATGTGGCTCTTTCTCTCTTCCAGATTCTTCAGGTCTTGTATCTTCTTGTGTCTTTCAAGGTCAACAATATAATATTAATTCGATATATTGTCAAAATATATGGTCAACGCAGAATGTATATACAACATAACTAAACTTTAAAGCATTTAAAAACTCCAAAAGCAACCACAAATTTCCAAGGTTTTATAAAACATTTGACTGTTAATAGATTCTGTCTTGTAATTTACTGTTTGATATAACATAAACGATATGGAAATAAATAGTCGATGTCTCACCTTATTTTTACATGGTTTATTTTTAGTTCCACAACTACAGCTCTGTCCACATTTCAAACCATTTCCTTTGCAAGGGCACCCTGTAACTTTTCCCTTATTTGAGATCTTCAGCTTTCTGCTACATTGTGAACGACATTCACAGCCAGCAAGTGACTCCAATCCCTAGTTCATAATATATTATAAACTAATAAGTGTATATTATATATATTTGTAATTTTGCATGCACATAACAGATTGGAATACAGACATATGCAGTATGGTGCTTATACAAGGGGAACACATACAGGGAAATGTTCTTGTGGGCTCCCAATATATGGACATGAAAAGGGCTCTATAAATGCAGTCAGATTCTCAATCTTTCTAATATGGTTCCACATAAGACATCAATGTGTATATATTGGAGCATATATAAGTTATGTGTCATAACCATGCATATAAATACTGTAGATAGCTAGGTATGTAAAGTGTACAGATGCTTCACACAAAAATAAGTTAGGGTTTAATAGGTTAGGGTTTAGGTTAGTAGGTTAGGTTAGGGTTTAGGTTAGTAGGTTAGGTTAGGGTGAGTATTAGGGTTAGGGTTTAGTTTTGCGTTCAGATAGTTTTTTTTTTACGTTGTAAAAGCGGAAACCTTATTTTAAAGTATACTATCTAGCGATCACCAAATATTAGGGCCGTAGGGGGGTAGGTAGAGAATTTCCGAATGACGAAAAAATTTTCCGAATCAGTTCATGGCATACGAAGCCACGAAGGTGTTTGCTATCCGGAATATGAGACGCAATTTACAAACAAAAATATGCATATTTTACGCACAAACACATTACAGAAGCATGTACTGTAGGAGGCTCTTTTTGATTGGAGTCTGAAATGCCTGATTTCCTGGACTTTCACTGAGCTATACTATATTACTGAGGACCTGCTCGGCATTAACAAGTGAAGCCAAAAACATGGCGGATCTTATGCCATTGCCATGACTACTGGTTCCTAGATTCATGGCAACTACCACTGTCCCAACCGCGGTCCTAAGCTTTTGACGATGTACTTCACCCCCCTGGTTTCACCACAGATTTCGCTTGTTTTTGGGTAAAAATCGCACTGAAAATCTTGATATTTTTCTCCTATAACTTGGTTGATTTACAACGTCGAGGATCCTGCCTTTTTGCGCCGCTCGTAGATGTATGAGATGTACAAGAAGAATATTTTTATTCACCGGTAAGAATTTTATATATTCTAGAAAACTAAATTGGTTGATGACATGTTTGACAGCAGTTTCAGGTTTCAGTGGTGGTGTCTCCAGTATTGGAGAGAGCTCAACATTTCAGTTAGACATATATTTGTGATTGTTGTGACCTTCTCTCTTAGATCTGCAAATCATTTGTGATATATTGTAATTAAATGTAAAATGAAACTTTGGGGATTAAGAAATACAATTATTGACAAGACTGTCCCTTGACAAGTAAAATTGCCAGGCATTAGACTGTTGAAGTAAAATAATAAGCTTGGTGCAATTAACTGCTGTATGCTTTAAAGTTGGTTGCAGCTAGGGCTTATAAATGCCAGAACTCATATGTGAAAAATGCTTGAATCAATTTATTTGACCTGTAATGAACCCATTTTTAATCCTTTAAGTGGCAATGCGCTAGGGCTATAATATTTACTCTCACTGTCTAATGCCAGACAATTTTACTCATCAAGTGGACTTAGTGGAGAGTGCTGCCACTCGATGGGTTCAATTGCATTGCACCCTACTTTATATGTTAGTGTTACTTTGTCTAACACCAACAATTTTACTTGTCAACAAGAGAGCACTGGTGTTCAATGGGTTAACATATAAATAATGTCTAACTACTCTACAGTAAATTTCCCTGCAATTGGAGCCTGGTATATGTGACTCATTATTTCTTCAAAGTGTGTTCTAATGATACTAGCTGTCACTATTTTATAAATATAATTGACCTTTCTCATTTAGGGTGATCCGTGATGTAAGTCAGGGACAAGTTCTTTGGAATGTTCAAATAACAAGAATAGTGGTGTAGTGGTGGCCTTGCCAGACCTACCGTAACTGGAAAAACTAACAATGACTTTTCTCCAAAATGTTCTGGGCATGTGTTATATGTACTACAGAAATGGCCCAAGGCATCAAAACAGGAACAGCCAAAGAATGAAAGAATAGCCCATGGAGCTATTTTGGCTTCACTTGGTTGACTGAACGAAGTATAGGAGCAGGTCCTCCAGTTATTATACAGCTCAGTGGGTGAAATACGGAAAATACGCGCACCTGGTCCCGGATGTAGTGACATATGAGTTCTACGAGTGTTTTAGTTTCCAGTAAAACATATATATATATATATATATATATATATATATATATATATATATACAGTGTGTATCAAAATAATTCGAATCCAAATTTGACAGACTGCTGTTTATAAAATACTAAAGTAAACCATATAATTTTCATATGGCAATAAAGAATAGGATATTACGTTTCCGATTATATCGTTCTTATATCAATAAGATCAAAAATGACTAAGAAATCGTGTGTTAAAACTGGTTGCTCGAAATCAAATTTTTCCGCCGATGGGAAAGCCTGTTCTTTTCTCTTTCAAACAAACTATTATCCTTGTCTCCAATGCTAGTAATAATTGCACAGGAAAAGATTTAGTAAAACCTATAATTTTTAGTTGCTGTTTAATTATGCAAGTTTACTATGCTATTGTTTAGTCGGTTTAAATGTTAGAATTTTCTTCTTTAAACTTTAATGTTGTCGTCACTACATCTGGAAAACCACGTAAGAACCAGGTTGTTTGAAAATCCTAGACGAATGCTAAAAATCGTCAAAACATTCTGGTGTCTGAGCCAGAGTGTCATCGAATTGCGATGTAATGTAAACAGAAATTATAGCAAGTTGATGTCAGTCAGCTTAGATGGTCCAAGCCAAAATTATATCGCATTTGAAGTTTCAAACTGAGTTAAAAATATTGGAAGAAAAGCCGTAATTATACTTATTGTTACAATCCATTTAATAAAATGCAACATTTTTTTGTTTTAATGAAAAAATCAGTTATTTTCATGAGAACGATTTGTTATTCCATCTCAATTTTTTTAATCTCCAATCGCAATAACGTAAAGTATTATTACCTGCGAACCAATGAGTCAAATTTAAGAAACAACCCACTGTTAGAAAGCTGAATGGCTACCCTTTAAAATGAATGTAAACTTTAACGTTTTCGTCTATTATTTGTTTAGCAATTTACATTTCAGTCGAGGATTGCACTTTTTTTTATACACCCTGTAGTTAACTAACTACTTATATATTGCGGTTTACTTACATTATATTTGAAACACTTGTATTCAAACCAAGTTTATTATTAACCATAGTTTATTACTTTAAAGGTCAGAGCAATTTAACACGTAGAGGTAGAGCTGTCGATATTATAAAGCTGCTACGACAAAAGCTCTGACTACCTGTACTACAGATTTAAACTCATACACGTTATTAAGATCCAGGCGGTGTGCGCACTGCGACCGCAATGCATCATGAGTAAACATTATATTGTTTAAAGTGCTTATAAACCCAAAATGGGTTTTTGATGATTCGGATAGAGCAGTCACTATTTTGACAAAAAAGTAGCGCATAGGGGGGACTGGATCCCAGGAACCGTCTATTTCACTTTACTATAAAATACATTACAGTTCGAGCAGGCGAATTGGAAAACGGCTATTTTTTAAGCAAAGAGCGTGAAATGTCCAGCTCCAATTCATTCTCGAGTGTGTATAGCAATGCTTCTGCCAGTATGCCATACGAAATGGAAGATGAACGTCAAGAAAGCGAGAAATGCGACTTTGAAGTCGATCGTGAGGACAGCCATATTGATGACAACACAGACCTGGAGGCCTATTTTGACGAACCGATTGCCAATGATGTTTGGCTAGAAGACTATTGTCGAAGGCAGGAAGAAAACAACGAAAGAATGGCAGAGTTAGAACTTCGTTGGGATGGAAGCAAGCCTGTAACATCGGTAATTTTTCGCATTCTTTTGTTGTGATTTATATTTTAAATAGCATGTGGTATGAAATGTTTTGTCTTTCGTGTAGAATGTATATTAATATAGTATACTGAAGTTGTATATTTTTGTGGTTAGGTGCAGTTGTGGCAACTGTAGCATTGAATTGTTGCAGAATGCTAAAGTGTTGTTGTTGCAAAGAAATCGAGGGTTGTGTGAAATTTCTTGACAACTTTTCTGAGGACTCCATGCTGCAAAGTGAGCAAGACGAACTAACATGCACAATCGATCATCCCGGTTTTCCAGCTATTTGCTTAAACAGATGGTCCTTGGAGCTTGCTGCTGACAATTTTAAAACCCGTGATGGCCATCGTTATAAGCAAAGTGGTTCAAAAGAAAAGTATATAATTTAATTGCATACTGCTATAATAAATAGTAACTACCCAGACTTGGGCTTATGCCATGTTGTCGGCAATTATTCTCCTCCTGATACATTCGAATGAGTGGACTCACAAACAAATGTGTCATTATAGGCTATGTTATGAGTCACTAATATTTCTCTTTGATCTTGACGCCAATCCCGACCCAATCCCTAACCCTATTGTTAGGCAGACTAAGCCAGTCGGGCAATATTAGTAGTAATGATAGACGATGTACGAAAAAAAAAAGGGGGTGTGTGAACCTATTTGATTTAACTGGAGCATTGAATGGAAAGTGAAAGTATCGCGGGCGTCAATGGCTACATCCGCTGGCTCACGTTTACACTTTCTTGCTGGCGTTTTTTTCTCTTTTTTTTCCGTTTCTATTTCTTCTTCGAAACTCTTTCTTGCCGCCAAAATATCTTTACCGCGATGTGTTACTTTCACCGGCGTGGTGTATACTTGGGGTATTTGCGTTTCCTCGTTGGCCGACATGAAATCTTCAAGATATGCAGTGAGGGAGGGAAATGTTGGTTCGCTGTCGGTTATTTTATTATCGGGTTCGACTGTAGTGGATTTTTCGTCAATGATAATGGTTTCGGTGGCTTGTTCAGGGGTTCGTGGCAGTTCGAGTGTGAATGCGTTAAACTGACCTTCGACAATGTTGACATGTTTCTTTAACTTTGCAAGTTTAACGGGTAGTGGAGGGAAGTCTGCAGTTAAAACTTTACTTGGCGACGGCACGGAAATCTGTTGTGGTGATGTTTGATATTGCGACGTATTTACTTGCTGTGGAGGAGTTTGAAATTGTGGTGTTGTATTTACTTGCTGCGGTGAAGTTTGATATTGAGGCGTTGTATTTACTTGCTGCGGTGAAGTTTGCAGCGTATTGTTGTGAGAGGGTGTTGCCGTTTTGATTTTGCCGTTCAGCTGCCATTTGATGAAATTTAACTCAAAAATATTATTTGGATATTCTGCGGCGTATGCTGTGAAACTCCAGTAGTCGGCAAGTAGCGGTGTTAGATTTGTGTCATCGGTAACGGTTACCCGACAGTTCGAGAAATTTGTAGAAATTCGCGTCCATTTTTTCAGATGTAGGATTTATACTGTTTCGTCTACGAGTAGTTGTAGTGAAATGTGTTAAAATTATATTCGCAAGGTTTCAAGTGTAAACACCGTGTCTAAATATGGTCAGGGCGTTTTTAACCTTGTGACCATATTTGGTCAGCAGAATTTGCAACAACCTACAATATGTTGATATGTGTTTATTAGCACCTAGCAACGCGTAAATGTGAAAGAAAAGGTCTATGACTATATATGGGTGTGTGGATATACGATGTTTACAAGTGTTTATTTTTATCGTGTAGCAACGGATAAATGTGAAGTAAAAAAGTTAATTTGTATGTATATATATGGTATGTCCATATATGCACATGTTAGTTAATAGTTCATATGTAGTATGATGAGGGTTCTTATAAGAGCGGTTTTAAATAGTTTACACTATGTATTTTATAGTGAAATGAGTTTTGGTTGTAAGCTTTTACTATCATTGGTGTTGTTATCGTTTTTATTGTATTTATTTTTAATTTATTATTCGGATATATCTATAAAAGATATAGAAGCGGTATTGATTGAGACATATAGCTGTACAGATAAATATGTCGAGGTATGATCACTTTTGCGAAACGTTATTTCACCAATTGAAAAATTGGAATAAACCAGAAAGTATTGTTATTTATCATAGGGGTTATGTTTTTCACCATGTTTGTGCGTATGTTAGTGCGGCTATGGATCGTAGACATTGTTATATGAGAGTTGTATTACAGAATCGACGTTGTCTTATAAGAGAGTCTGTAATGGAATTAAAATATAATTGTCAGGAAAGGAATAGTTACGATATACAGTTTTATTTTCCGGGTTATTATGGTGGTTTATGTGGTGTTTTTCATGAAGAATGTTACAAGGCTGTACAACAATTTTATAAGGATGCTAGCATGTGTAGTTTGGAACAAATTTGCATAAATATTTTCCAACGTTGCAACGGTGCAATAGTTAGCGAAACTTTAATAAAACAACAAGTGGAATATTATAAATGTGACAGTATTCTTATGGAATTGGATCATAGTGGTAAAGCTGTTCCCCCAAAATAAAAATAAATTATTTTTTCTATGTTGTAGTTCCGATGAAACAAAAGATATTGTTGTTCAGCTACCTTGCGATACAGTTCTTGATGATGAACCGTTGAGAGTATTATAGATTATAGCTAGTGATTATAAGTTTTTCGATTTTTATTTACGTGTGGCTCGAGAGCAAAAGATACAGTTGGCGGGTGGTCGTTTATGGCCAACTGTAGTTATAGACGGTGTTCTGAGAACAATACCCAGTTTTTATATTTATCTTATAGCTGTGACTAAATGTGATAACGGTGATCGCTATATAACTATTGGCGTCATACACTGGTTGTTTGGGATTTATGCTGAATTGGAGATTGATTACCGCATCTATCCTGAATCGTTTAAACCTAAACCCGAGTGGAAAGTTTCACCTCTATATTTACCGTCTGTGACGTTTGATAGTCTTGGTTTTGATATTGATTATACTGATCATCAGCAATTAACAGTTCGCGAAGCGAAAGATTTTGTCGCTGGTGTGGTAGATACTTTAATTACATTTATAAATGAGAATTATCAGACAGATTTTCAGACAGTGACCGCTGAGTTTGAAAAGCAGCATGGGATGCTTGTATCAAAACGTTTGACACAGATTATGATATATCATCAAAAATTGGTTCATCCTGTACAGGATTGGATAATAAAGAATTGTGGTTGCACACGAAACGACCAAATTTGTCATTGCGGATTGTATACGAAACGTGATATAGTTAGATGTAGAAAATTGTACTTTAAAGACGCAGGACTATTGGTTAGTGATGCGGTGTACTTTACCACCCCGAGATAAATATGGTTGGATATTGTATCATTATTTGGAAACATGTAACTTTAATAAAAACGGTGTTATGTGGGAAACATCGTTATTTGCCTATGATCAACTATATTCAAATGTTATGTATTGGTTATATATAACAGAAATTCATAAATCGTACCATGGTTACATGTATCGAATGACATTTCGAACATTAGATGGTTTTGTACATATTCATATGTCGTTTGATTTAAAATATCTTCCAAATATAAATAGTAGCGGACATGTTATGTATGAGACGATGGGTGTTCAAAGTTTGGGTGTTCAACAATGTGTGGAAGCGGTGATTGTTAACAATTTTTTAAATACTAATTATGAGACGGTTGTAAAAAACATTATGACATATATTAGAGAACATATTACATTTTCATTGACTGTAGATTATGAGGAATATATTCATAGAATACGTATGGATATAGCTAGGATATATAAAACTGTAGTGTCTCCGGATTTTATACGGGGAATACACGATATAGTAAAGGATATGTTAACGAATATGTATTGGTTAGATAATCGGGCGTGTTTGTGTATCACTATAAATAATTGTTGTGTATGTAAAAAGACAAATTTGCATTTTGTAAGCTTATACTGTCAACATATAATGTTAGATTTTGAATAAAAAAAATAAAAGAGTGTGTGTGTGTTAGTTGTCTATTCATATTGTGCTGGTATGGAGGGGTTATTTCAAAGAAAGCATAATCAAATGTCGTATGAAGAAGCGGCTATGGTTGAAAAAAACAAAAAAGAAATAGCGTCTCGGATTACACATGTGATCGATTGTGAAGCGTATACGAATAAGAAAAAAACATTTCTTCGCGAAATATCAGTCTATCGGGTAAAAACCGGCGAGTGTTCGTCGTTTCAAGTGTTTATGCCGTTTGTACCGTTTAATGAATACAACTATACAATTGACTATCAAATAAAGAAAATTCACGGCTTACCGATTGTACGCAAACGTTTAACCGATGATTTTTATACATTGAAAGAATCGACGGCATTTTTAACAGATGAATTTATGTGTAATGCGGATTTAGTGGCTTATAAAGGCGGTGATATTGAACGTATTTTGTTAAATAGTATGGGAGTCCGTTGTATTAATCTTGAAATATTGACATGTCCAAAATATATAGATCTGTTGACCATATTTGGTCAATCACAAGAATGTTGTCCTTATCACCTGGGTAACCATTATCACTGTTCAAAACACGAGGTAAAAATGTTCGCAAATTTTGTTTATTCGCTATTGTAACGATGTCGGTAATAGAAGCATTATCATATCTTTTAATGAAACAACCCTATAATCCGACTTTATGGAATTTGTATTCGACTTGTAAATATTTACGAGCTTATAAACCACTACTCGATGTTGCAGAAAGAAAAATAAACGATTATGTAAGAGTTGAAAAGGTTTGGTTGAAAGGGGGTTTTGATACTATACGCGATTTCATTGCTGTAGATGATGAAACGAATGCGGGTGAAATTGGTGAAAAGCGACAACCCTAATACACCAGATTTGATGTGGTCCAAACATCCGCGTATGGCCATCGTCGGCATCGATGTAGAAGGTGTTGACGGTAAAGAATTCTACAGTATACCCGTGGAATGGATTCCACGACTGGCTGTTCGTTCTGTTCGTATTAAAATCATTCGAGTTTTGCTGTCGTGAAATTTTGGTACGTTCAAAGACACAACTGGTACATTGTCAGTCTTTAACAGCATCCGATAAGTATTATGTAGACAAACATTATTTTCATATCGGTTCGGGGGAATTGTAATGAAGATAATTCTGAGATTGAAGTGTTTGCCGCTACACACTTGTATGTGGGATTAAAGAGTATTATGCGATATTTTGACACCGGGTTGTATGTGAATATGGGGGAAATGCTGATGGCGCTTGATTGTAATGACGAAAATTTGAATTTTTATCATAAAGAAGTACGTCATGAAGAATCATCAACGATCGTAATATATACTATGGTAAAAAAGAAGGGTATGTTTATTCGTAAATATCTTGCACATATAGTTGTATGTAAAAATTGTATTAGATATCTTCAAGATTTTTTAACTCTATTAGATCAGAGTGTGGAAAATCACCCATTTTCTTCATATGCTGAGTTAGAGTGTGACGGGTATAACTATCTTGGATTACCCATCTTACGATATGTATTAGATGCAGATTTTGATAGTTTAGCAGCGAAAGCTTATTATGGTGTTATAGACGGACAGCTACACACGGGTTGCGATTATGTGGATGCTTTTATGCAAACTTATGTTATAAAAACATGGTTGATTTTAAACAACTATTTTATCAGTTGCTACAATTAAAAAGTTTGTATGTATTAAAATATGAGGGCGTAATAATAGGGTATGCCCTTATAAGGTCATCATATAATTTGCTTCGATTTGCACAATTCTTTAATGTGTGTTGTTTAAAAGAACGTGATTGTGCGGATTTTATTCGCTGTTTAAAATTTTCGATAATAACCATACGACAAAACGAAGATATTGTTTTGGCAATTGTTACATAATGGCAACGTCAACTAAAACACATTATTTTGAAACGTCTGCTAATGAAATTAGAGTCCTAGAATTTTTGAAAAAAATGTTAGAAAATGGAGAATTGAGCTATTATCGGTGCGTTGACATACCTGATAAATTGGGACTAAGAAAGATGACGGGGAGATGGGGATTGAAACTATACGGGGTTCTACAATTTAAGGAACGAGTTAGTCCTAGAACGGTACTTCAGATGTTCTCAAGCCAACGTATTTATTTGTCAGCATTGCTTACAGTGCGAAGACCCATTGTACTAATATTGATGCGTTTGTGGGTGTTGTGTGAATGTTACGGTTTACATTACGGTGAAACAACGTGTTCCAATACACCGATCGGTTTTGGCGGGCGAAAAACGGAAAGTAAATATAAACTTATGCTAGAAAAGAAAATGCAAAAACGAGTATGGCCATATATGGTCGTTGACATTATATATATAGATTTGTGTAGTTTTAATTTTTAGTTGTGATGTTGTTGTCAGTACAACAACACTAGAAATGATAAACACTCACAAATAAATAGATTAGCTGAAATGGTTAAGAAAACAAAAACTTTATATAAAGAAAAACGTAGTTACAATATAGAGGATTGTGACCTTATAGAATTAGCAGCACTTGTGCAATCACATCAAAATGTCAGCGTCCCAAAAAAAGCCTTTTCGGTGCGTCAAATACGTACTCATGAACGTTTTGGTTATACTGAATATATATACGATGTAAATGTAGGTAGCAATCATATGGGGAGTTTACCAGATTTTTTGGTAAATTTACGTCGTGTGTTTGATTATTTAATAAATACCATGTTGTATTATGCTCAGACGAATACGGATAAGGCAAGATTTTTTATCTCGAATGCCCCACGTACCCCTTTTTCCACAAGCGTATTAACCGTAACGGATTTTACAACCGACATGTTTTTTAATATTTTCGAGAAACACATGCAGAGTAATGCAGAAGAGATTATAAATAATGGCTGGAATACTACCGTCAGTTTGTACATTTTTCCAAATAATTATGTTTCGCGTAATAAAACGTCACGGGTGAAAAAGAAAACAAAACAAAATAAATTGTATAAATATTTTGGTAAAAACACCACAGAGTCCGGTAGCGGTAAAAAAAATAACCCGGCGTTAAAACATGGTCGCGAAGTTCGCCATGGTGTTTTTCAAATCGGCGTTTCAAATGTTAAAAATTGTTGTTTGGGTTTAGCGCTTCTAGTGGGTAAATCTTATCTGCACAACGATTCTGACGCATACAAACTGAAACGCAACAGTAACATACCCCTAAGCAGTATATATACAGACGATGCTATTACAAACGTGTATACGATTAGCCAGCTACCCGTGGGGTCGCCCGTACGTATTGATCAATTACCCGACGTGTATGAGAAATATTTGAAATCGGACGGGATAGATTTGGTTGTTTTTTCCAAACAACAAGCCGACAGTATTGTATACGATTCTCGATTAGGTGCCGATCAATGTTTACACCGCATTACGAATGAAGTTATTTTTTTATGGTTAAATGATAACCATTATGATTTAGTCACCTCACCGTACACGTTTGCGCGTTTAAATTTGGGAAAGTTTTGTTTTTCGTGCATGCGATATTTCCGTCGACACGAACGAAAAAATACACACGTGTGTATCTTGAGTATGACATGTCATTGTTGCTATAGCAACACGTGCAAGTGTGAATCCGTACCCGGTTTTGTACAACAGTGTACGGAATGCGATGTTATTTTTTACAATCCCGATTGTTTTACCAAACATTTGACGCAAAGAGTGTTTAAAACATATGTAAACGGTTCGTTAACAACCGAGACGACGTGTCAACGCTTTTTTTTCTGTGTTGTGTGTTATAAAACGGTAATGCGTAAAACAATCACAACTAGCAAAAGGTATACAAAGCACAAATGTGACGAGATGTTTTGTATACATTGTAATAAAATGAAAAAGAAAGATCATCACTGCTATATTAAACCGGTTAAAGAGCATAAAAATGAATCACGAACCACTTTATATTTCTATGATTTTGAAACACGTGTAGATGAGGGTGATATATATATGATACCTTTTTATTGCATTGTGCAAAAAGTATGCGATGTTTGTGACGAAAAACCGTTTGTAAAAAATTACGAGCATTTTCTACCTCATCCTAGCAAGTCGTTTACCGATATTTCTATTGAACCGGTGCCTTGCTGTGGTTATAAACAATATGTTTTTGAAAAAAAACAACGATGATATCGTGTCGGATTTGATCGATTTCATGATGGCACAACCGAAGAATAGTGTGTGGGTGGCGCATAACGGCGGTCGATTTGATAGTATTTTCTTAATGCGCGAATTATTAGTCCATCGTAAACTTGTACCCAACGTTGTAATGAATGGTAGTAAGGTTATGTCTTTAGAATTGGAAGAACGTAATTTGAAAGTAATTGACAGCTACCTATTTCTTTCGATGAGGCTGGCAAAATTTCCCGAGGCTTTAGGGATTGAAAACGTGACGAAGGGGTATCATCCCTATTTGTTTACAGATTTGAATTATGTTGGCGAGATGGTAGGGTTAGAATATTTTGAACCACCCCCAGAGGGTAGCGAGGAGCGAAAAGCTTTTGATAAGTGGTATAGGCAACAACAGAGCAAACCGTACGTGTTCCGTGAGGCTATATATTATTATTGTCGTTTGGATGTGGATATTTTAAGACAGGGCTGTATCATATTCTCCAGACTTATCTATCGAATTACGGGTGTATTACCCTTTTACGACCACACATGCAATACTGTGGCGGGTTTGGCTTTAAAAATATATCGCAAAAATTTTTTAAAAGAAGAGCAAATTGGGCAGGTTCCCGCATGTGGTTACGGTGTTGTGAATATTAATCAAAGTGCGATTGCTTTATGTTGGTTGAAAGATATTGAAACTATGCTAGATGAAAGCGATCTAAGATTGTGTAGTAAGCTTAGTGTTGGTGGTGAGCGGCGTATAATGGGGCATTATGTTGACGGGTATTGTGAAGAGACCAAAACGATTTATCAGTTTCACGGTTGTTTCTATCACGGTTGCGAACGTTGTTACGACGGTGCTTGTTACAATAGCGTTTTATGTACAAAATTTTTCACACTTTTGGGTAGTACGCAACGCTTATCGCGAATGTTTCGACAAGCAGGGTATACAGTTGTTGAGAAATGGGAATGTGATTATCGCAACGATGTTGACATGACCCCATATCGTTTAAAACAATTACGTCTAACATCCTTTTTTGAATTTATACAATTGGAACCCCGTGATGCGTTGTTTGGCGGTCGTACATCTCCCGCCACACTATATTATGATATGAAGGATACGGGTTTACCCGCAATGTATTTCGACGTATGTTCTCTTTATCCGTATGTGCAGAAAAAATTTCAATATCCTACGCAACATCCGGTCATTCTTAAGGGTCGTGCATGTCAAAATATCGACGTAAACCAAGTGTTCGGTTTAATTAAGTGTAAAATTTTACCACCCACACACTTATTGTTTCCTGTGTTACCGTTTCGTTCGGAGAAATTAACATTTCCCTTGTGCCGCACGTGTGTACAATGTCAACAAAGTGAGACATGTCAGCACAATGATGAGCAGCGTGCATTATACGGTACATGGACCAGTGTAGAAATCCAAAAAGCTTTACAATTAGACTATCGTATCTTAATTGTTTATGAAATTTATCATTATCAGAAACGTGAAAAAATATTCGATCAATATGTAAACACGTTTATAAAGCTTAAACAAGAAAGTAGCGGGGTACCAAAAAAATGTTTAGACCAAAACGGGGTGGTGGTGAAAGAAAAATTACAGAAATATATTGACGATTATCTGAAGCATGAGGGTGTTGTTTTGGACGCAAGTAAAATGTCCTACAACGTGGGTCAAAGAACGGTTATGAAAGCTTTATTGAATTCCTTGTGGGGTAAATTGGCTCAAAACGAAGATGTTACGGTTGTATCGTTTTTAGAAAGCATGGACGATTTGTTAGAATTAGTAAACGACCGTACAGTGGAAGTAACCTCTTTAGATTTTATAAGCGACGATGTTGCGAGAACGACACACAGAAAAACAGCCAGTCTAACGCCGTTACCTAATCGTAATGTGATTATTGCGTCATTTGTTACAGCGTATGCGCGTTTGGAATTATTAGAGTATTTACTTAAATTAGGTGAAAATGTTTTGTACTATGATACAGATTCGGTGATTTTTATAGAGGATCGTGCAAACGGTAAATTTCTTGAAACCGGTGAATATTTGGGTCAAATGACCGATGAATTAATTGAAAAAAAAACAAGCGCAAAATGGATTGAACAATTTTGTTCGGCAGGACCAAAATCCTATTCCTATCGTACGAATATCTATACGCGTTACAATGATGACGGTAGCGAAAGCAAACAACAAGATGAAATTGTGCATGTCAAAGGCTTCTCATTAAAAGGGGCTGTCAAAAAACTATTAACATTCGACAGTATTCGAGAGTGTGTAGAAGATCCTAACAAAGAAATTGAAATTACCTATCGGGAATTTGTACGTGAAAATACGCAAAGTATTTCGGTACAACAAAATACGAAAACATTTAAATTCACTTTCGATAAGCGGGTTGTGCATGAAAATTTTACAACTACACCTTTTGGTTATCGGTAATGATTTTTTATACTTTTTTTAGAAAAACAAACAAAACGACCATTGTATGCACAATGTAACAATACCCCTTCAACATCCGTTCGTGATGACAATATGCGGACCCACACAATCGGGTAAAACACATCTACTGATTGATATAATAAAAAACATTAACGAACTGATTGTACCAACGCCAGACAAACTATTGTACTTATACACGGCCGAACAACCGATATATGGGGAAATTACAGATTATGTGGCTGCAAACCATGAAACATCCGCACTTAAACATTGTGAGTTCTACGACTGTGTACGATTGGGTATACCCACGATAGAGCATATAAGACCGTTGTTGGGTGAACGTACCCTACTTGTTCTCGATGACCTAATGGTCTTTGCAATGTCAAGTAAGGAAGGAATTGAAAACTTAAACAATTTAGCTACACGTGATAGCCATCATTTAAATCTCTCTGTATTTTTTGTGTGTCAAACTTTAAATTTCGGTAATGGGAAATTACGAAGTATGCGTATGAATAGCATGTACCATCTTCTTTTTAATAATCACACTGATACTCGAGATATCGAATTGATAGCGCGAAATAAGGGCATCCGTCTGCCGACAATACGAAAAATATTGGCCGATGTGGGTAAAAAACAATACGGTTATGTGTTGTTTGACGGATGTCCTCATTCGCCAGCCAATACACGTGTTCGAACGGGTATATTGCCCAATGAATGTACAATAATTTACAATACAGAAAAACAATTTGTATAAAAATGTTATATTAATAATAAAATATATAAAGAGTTACATGTATTGTTGAAATGCTTCTAAATATGTTTTACAAATTTGACCCTTACCCTTATTACATTTACCCTTATATATATTAACCATGTTCGGATATTCTGGATATACTAATTGTTTTAATTTCTTTTCATTTTCTAAAAGTTCATCTTGTTTAACAGAAAATTCGTCGATAATATCCTCGTTGTTATAGAAACTGTGTAGAAATAATAAACACCACGCGCCACAGGTCTTGCTAATATATGATTGACGTGGCAATTGCATATATACAGAAAAGTTACAATGTAAACTACGAAAATAATCAAGCCAGTATTTACGACCAAAAAAACGGGGTGTCTTGCCAAAACTATCAAAAAATATAATATCTTGACGGTCTTTTACAACACAAACCCAATGTGTACTGGGTTTATCATCCTCGTCGGTATTCCACACCCAACAACATCGTTCTTTGATATTTTTTGGATATTTATTTGCTGGATAACATCCCAAATAATATGTGTTGACAACTGTGTTTGCACGAGCCAATTTATCAATGTCGTCTGTGTTTAAGAATTTACTTAGAAAACAGATTAATGACGTCATTTAATCTGAAAGATATCCCCTTTTTCTTCTTTTACCAGAACTCGTTTGTGGTATAGGAATGAATGTGGGTGGTTTGCGAGGCTGTTTGCTTTGATTCAAAATTTGTTTGTACTCTTCTTTAATTCTTTTATTTCGAATATATGAAATTGGCATATTTGTCTTTTTTAATAATAGCAATACCCTACGACGGTTGTTTTCATTTAGATTTGGTTGGGTTTGGGTGTAGTTTCGTGTTAAATCTTCCATCATATCCTGATAGGATATACCCATTTCACTGTCTCCATATTTAATACCTTGCGGTATCGGTTTTACATTGTGTTTTCGTAAATGTTCTTCGATTTTTGCTGCCGAAGCAGCAACTGTGCCGGGTTTATGACCCGCACCCGACGCACCCGCTGTCACCGGGACGGGTGTATTACCCCCGCTCACATCATCATCATCATCTACGATTTGATCAAGACCGACAGATTTTCGATAACTTTCCGTTTTTCTTAGAAAATTAATGATGTCGTTGCCGGCCGTGGAAGAATTATTTTTAACAGATTTTTTAACTTCCTGTCGACTTTCAATAAGACCTGCCTCTTCGCTGCTTCGTTTTGCGTTGTTCAATAATTCGTCTCTTGCGTTATTTTTAGTAAGCATGTCCATCAGGTTGTTAAATTTATTCGCGTCTATCAACGCTAACCGTTTGACTTCTTCGCCCATTTTCTTGTGGATGATTTTTCTTGATCGACTCCAGTTGTCTGATGGCTTTCCGAATATAACCGTGAATGCGCATATCTTCTACAAGTGTAAATTTTATATCTTTCTTTGGACAATCTTTACTGGTAATATGTTCTAAAACACCTCGATCACCATGATCTATTTTAATATCAAGTTTGTTACGGACAATTAAATCACACACATGTAACAGATGTCTCGTAATAGTTGGAGAAATTTGTTGGCCTTTTTGATCAAAATCTAATTTCATAAAATTCGAAACACATGGAATGAGACGATTCTCTTTCTTTTTCTTCACAACTTGTTCTTGTAGTTGCATTAGATGTTTTAAAAACCCCTGTATTACTTGTTCGTCTAATCCCGCTTCTTCTTCGGGTTCACAATTTTGAAAATCATTGTCAGTATGAAAATCCGAAATATTATCTCCATCATAGGGTTGAATATTTTCATCAGTATCTACTGCATCTCTTTGTACCGCATCTGTGTTATCATCATACACATCGTCGGTCTGATCGGTATTTTCAACATTATTCGCAGCAGCAGCATCATCATTATCATCATCATTATCATCATCAGTATCTGAATAACCCGTTAGGTTCGCGTTTAATATATCTTCGTTAAAATCGGTATTTTCAGCCATATTTTGAAATTACACTGTGTATATGAACAGTTTGAATATTTACCCCTTTATCACTGATAATTACAGTGTTCGGCGGTCGCGGTCGACATACAAAAGATTCGGGTTTTTTAGGGGGGCCCAGTTTTAAGGCACTCTTCTCGGTCACGTGTCGAGGCATATTGTAATGGGTAAAACAATTTACATTCAATTTTATAATAGATCAAAATATATTATCCAACTTATTCCACTTTTTTCCCCATCCACCCTTTTGATTTTTCTTTCTTGAACCACCTTTTTGTTTTACACCGAATATTTTATTTACATAATATCCCGTTCCGCGACCTCCTTTTTGTTTTGCAATTTTAAAATTTCCACCCTTTTGTTTCGGACGAAAAGATTTTGTAAAATTACCATTGTTTTTACGCACACAACAACGTCGCTTCATCATACTTGAAACAGACTAGTTTAAATTCACTTTATACTTCGTATTTTAAACGTGCTTGTGTACCAAAACCAACACTCATCTGATTTCTAAATTCCCCGATACAAATTAGCTGTTGTGCGGCGGTTGTGTCGTTGGCAAAATCAATTTGATACTCAAATTTCCACTTGTTGAATTGGGTAAAACTTGTGAAAAACCGTCACGATTCGGTGATAAATCTGTAACGATCATACCGTAATCGGATACATATTCAGCATATGTACACGGCATTTCACTATGGCGTCGATCCAATGATTGACGTAAATTAATGTAGGCCTCTGCTGAATTAGTAATTACTGGGGGTATTTCAGCTTCATTGATGCTCACGGCAAAACGTGTGATATCGGGGAAAGCTACAGAATAAGGTGACAATATATACGAGCCGTTGTAACGTGTTTGCGATACAATTTTTGATATAAGACGTGTAGGTCATGCACCATTGAAAATATCTTTATGCTGAATGTGTCGGCTATTTTGGGGTACGGGTATTGCAACATAACGATGTGTAATTTTATAATACCGACATTCTTCACCTTTTTGAATCATCAAATCATTAATTGCTGCCGATAATTGTGCGTTGGGTTTTAAAATTGGCATGGTTAATTTTAAATTAGCCATTCTTAAATCTACCGGAGCACAATCTGCAGCCGTACCATACAGGACTTTTGTTTTCTCCAATCTTGTTAAAACCACTTTAATATCAAACGATGTGGGTACATAACGTTTAACACGACCCAACAAATCGAGTTTATCGATACATTGATGAACTGTGGCTCCATTTATTTTAATATATCGTTGTCTTGCACCAATATTTGTATTGCCCGTAGCATTTGTATTATGATGTAAATTTGTGATTACATCCATCCGACCAGGTGTGTCGTGAATCATTAAATTAATATCTTTATCATCGGAATATTCAGAAGGAACGGTTGTTAGAAAATCATGAGTAAACTCAAGTTCATTTTCCTTACTCGATTGTGGTGTAATTAATTGGTTATTTAAATACACAGCTTTGGTTTTCCAACCGTAACGTAACGGTGCCATGTTAACACATATATTTTGATCGCCAGCAGGTGCGGCACCACCAGCTGTTACAGCAAGCCGTAATTTTGCCGATAGTTTAGCATCAATCATATCTATTACACCGTAATCTTGCCGATTATGCATAAATGTATAGATTTCAGCATTTTCGGTAGTAGGATTGGGTAGTAATTCGAGAGTACGTGTTTCGGCAAATGTATCATTATGGGGAAATGTATCAAATAATGTCATGGGTCCCACAAAACCACTATCATGTTCTTCAATAGGTTCGGCCTCCTCTTGTCTTTTACGTTTCATCTTGACGATGTTCAACGAACTAATGAAACTATTTTAAAAAACAGCTGCCTTTTTAAGAAAAAACACGCACACACATTGATTTTTTGTTTATAATTTTTTATTAATAAAAGCAAAAATATTTTATATATACATATTAATAATAATCATCGTCATAATATCTTTGTGGTCGTCTACGACGTCGTCGTGGTGCGGGTCCTTGCATCCATGTAGGTGGTGGTCTATTACCCCCTTGATTTACACTTTGTACAGGTTTTTGTGCAGGTTTTTTACCAAAAATACTACCGACAACACTTGTACCCGTATTTAATAACATGGGTAATGCCATTCCCAATGCTATTCCCGCAGCTGGGCCAAAACCACCTATTTGATGTTTTTTCCCTTTTTTCGATTTCTTCCGTTTATTAGCTATTCTTCGTTTACTACCCATAGATTAATTTTAAAATTTCGGGTGCTATTGTTGTTGTGGCAGCAACACCGCCTCGTACTTGCTGTTTAGGAGCTCTTGGTTGTATTTTACCCACCCTTTGTATTTTAGGGTTTGTTGCGTAACCGGGATTTAATTGGGGTGGTGGACAAATTTTACCGGCAGCATGTTCTTCAACGGTCGATGCTTTACCAGATAACATATACAAACATGTCCCCTTATAACGCGTACCGCCACCTTTTAATAGCTTTACGTAGTCTGCTTGCTGCATCGTGAATGATTATATTTGATTATATTTTATCATATATATTTAAAACAATGGTTAATTTTGACCGATCCGCTACATTGGCGGCCAATGCAAACGTATCGGTTTGATATGCTGCTGTGCGTTCAAAAATAAATTTTACGCTATTGTCTAAATCGGCCACATTTCGTACGGTTAATAAACAATTAGGTAGTATTGTTTTAACAGTTGAATTTGATGTAGGATGTATCACACGATTATCATTCGATTGTTCAAAACGTTCAAATAATAAATGACGTTTTAGCGTATACAGATGTTTTACTGTCGATCCACGCATTGTACTGTAATCTTTACCATCGTAAAATGTACCACCACGTACTTTTATTTCGCGACCGGTTAACTTATCGGTAACGATAATTTATAACCACCTAATAAACCTTCAACATGTCCGACAGTGAAGTACATTACTTTATGCGATAAATGTGCTTTGACTTCGGAGCTGTATTCATATTTAACCGGTGTAAGTTCTTTAGGCCGATCTGCTTTTACTTCTAAATCGATTTTTAACATTTTTTCTTATTCCACCACACACTCGATATTAACGGTACCGCTGCTAAACGGTATTAGTGTATGTGTTGTATCGTATATCGCAATTTTAAATTCGTTAATTTTACTCTTAATTAACTTATGTCGTGTATTCGGTGGGGTATACACACACAATGCACCACTACCCCAATCTCTTGCTTTTAACGGGACAATAGCCAACAACGGCGCATATGTATCGCCAACAATAGACATTTCTAATTGGTCACAATATACAAACATTTTATCAATACCGTTAGAAATATCGGGAAGGGCTTGACCCATAAACGAGCAAGCAAAATTGTTATTGCCACTGTCGTTGGTCTTATTCATGAACCGATACCAATCATGGGGTGGCTGTAGATGATTTGGAAAAAAAAAAGATCCGCTTTCCCATTTTAATTTTGTTTCAGCCACATCGGGGTGAACAATTAATTTCCGTACCCCCAACATATATTCCAATGATTCTGTAAATTTAATTTCAAATTCGTCTCCGTTATCGGTATTTTGGGAAAAAATTTGATATACTTGATGGGGAGGTTTTGTTCCAAGTCTTTGGATATGAATGTCAGAATGCCAATATTCACGTTCGATATTGTAAGTTACACCAATTCGTCCATTATTTAATACTGTAAAATTTACATCATATTCGGAAACAAACGTATTTAAAGTATCGAGAAGTTTCTCTAACGTATATGCGCCCGGCGGTAAAAACATATCGGTCTTAAATTTAATTTCGATTCCCGAATCGGATGTAAGTTGTACGCCACATTGCTTGTTTTGAACATTTTCAATAGTTAAAGGATACGAGAAATTTAAAACCTTCATAAATAGCTCTTTATTTTCTGCATCTAGTAATGTGGGCAACGGCATCACAAACTCGTTGGTGTAATTCGTACCACCAACGTCGTTTCGTGCATTACTAACAATTTGAACATTCATAGCGGTTGCAATTCACGACGATAGAATATTCCGGTGATTTCCTCACCCTGCAGATCTTCAAGCGAATACGTGACGGGGTCGCATATGTACACCTTTTTAATACGGAAGGTTTCTTTCACCCACCGTCTTAAGCTTGATTTTTCAAAAACATTATTCTTAATTCGTGCAATACGGACATGTTGACCTTGCTTTAATAGACGTACAGGTGCTGGGTTACCATTTAATATTGCTTTCAATCTTCGAAATGTGTCGGGTTGTTTACCCCGTTTGTATACGTCAAAGGGTGTTAAATTATATATCCCTCTGTGTGGCGATTCATTATATCGCTCAATAATCAATTTCAAATTTTCTATATATCAATGACCTTGATCTAACCCCGTCATTGAGCGCATGATACTTTGTTTAAGGGTTTCAATAAATCGTTCAGCATGTACGGCTTTTGTTTCCCGATTGTAAGTGTGAAAAAGTGTAAAACCATATTTTTTACACAAATCCCTTTTTATCAACGTAAATTCTGTGCCCTCATCACTTTGAATTTTTAATGGAATTTCTTTTTCTTTTATCAGTATATCTTCAAATTTATTCGCCACATTTCTAGCCGTTTTCGTTTTTAATGCCCGTACAAAAGCATAACGGGAATAAATGTCAACACACACAAGTAAATAGCGATATTGGTTATTAAATCTTGATAAATTATTCAAATCTGCTAAATCAATACTCCACTGTGCATTACGACTATATACATTAATAGGTAAACGTTTATATTTTGTAAATTTTCTACTGTGTAACGTATATGCTTCTTTTTGTTCATTATTTAATCTCTCGTGTTTTAACAAACGCGATGTTTTTTTAATCAAGTTCAGCATTCTTATTTGTTGATGTCTTTCCCATATTTGTTTTACTAAATAAGAAATTAATGTAACAAATGTTTGTCAATCATTTCACTATACATATCGTCTATTATAGTTTGATCATGTCGAGATAGTCGTACTCATATTCCTCATTCATTTCGTGTGTATATAGAAATACAGCTTCTTTGCAAGATTTAATTTTTTCACGATGCATCACAGCTATAATAAGCGATACGGCTTTACGATACTAAAAGGGAAAATTAATGAAAAATAGCTGTAAAACTATCCATAGACATGCCAGACGTTTCACGCAATACATTTAAACTGTTTACGGTCTGTAATATATTTTGTTTCAGATCGTTATCTAATAGTACACTAAATTCACCTTTTGGGTTGTAAAATTCTAATGCTTTTTCATACGTAATATTTTCTTTCAAGATTTTTATCAACATCCCTTTAACAACACGACTTATGCGAGTTTGAAAATTTTGCGAACTACCGTATAGTTTTATATCGGCATACCAATTACCAAATTTTATTACCTCATCATCGGTGGGTTCGATAGTACGTCTCTTCTTCACTGGTTGTTTACCCAGTCCACTTTTCACCGGTTCTTTTCTTTTCACGATCTTTCCCGTTGCGGTGGGTAGGGGGGTGGGTGTGGGTAATTCTCTTGAAATCAGTGACTGATCATCAACATCTTGCTCATGCTCGACAGCGATTAGAAACTCGTTGATTTTCTTCGATACATAGACCCAATTTTCATTTTTTGAAAAGAAACATTTTGCCCACTGCTCCTCCCATTCTACCTCCTCTTGATCATCAAACAAAGGCTGTGTCGTGGGCACGTCGTCTTCCAAGCCGTCGGGAACATCCGTCATCAAAACATCTTGGGGTTTAGTAGCTTGTAGACGTACTAGCACCAGGCCACGGTACTCGCTATCTTTCAAAACGATACGAATTAGATTTTTCTGATAATCTTCATATTCGCTAATGATGATGTAGTGGCTACCGCCTTTCTTGCATGTTTTCAGACTTTCATAAACTGTACGAAGCTGGTCGATCGTCAAAGTAAATTTCATTTTGTATAAATTCTTATCACCCGATTGCGTAGGTGATGACGAAGCGATGCAACATTTTTCATTCCATCGTTGGTACCACAACATTTTTTTTGTTTTATTTTGACACGCACCTAATTCTGTAACATGTGAAGCATTTTGCTTCTCATACATCTCAACGAGCGATATCTCATGTTGTGGTTGCGCCATCTCGACAATCTGTAACGTACAAGTCTTACCACAGCATTTTATAAACCACGTAACCAAGTCCGACAGCCAATGCGGTATTTATCAAAAATTCTTTTGCAATTACACCCCTAATATGGTCACATATCTTATTATAGATATCCGTTATTTTATTGAGGAAAAAACATTTATTTTCGGAACATGAAAATACGATATGCCCATATAGGGTCACAAGTATATAGCCTACAACTAACAATCGAAAATAACCCGAAATACCAGTAAAAGAATCATCAGCCACTAAAACCACCATTAAATCACAACATTTCTCATTCCTATCGTCACATTGACGCAACATCTTTCTAATAGGGTCTGCATATACTTTTAGATAAAGTGTCATTTCCTCAGTAAATATTTCTCGCACATATTCACATTCTACCAAACCATGCCAAGATGTTGTTGTATAAACCATTGTTATCAAAAACAAAAATATAACAAACACACAGCACTAACGACTCACACACTAACGACTCAATGTAACATGTACAATCTATATAAATGCGCATATATAATAAGCGGTAATACACTATCATCAATAATCATATTGTCAGCTAAAAACCGTTTTCGAATATTGTCGATATTTTTAGCATAACAGAAGCCATGAAGCCATTGTATATATAACACAAATTGTACAATTCTATTCATTTGCTGGCCACCACCTAGCCGACGCACAATGTTCCCCGTGAAAATATAGTGTTCCGTTACTTCATCATCATGTCTCTGTAAGATAAGTACTACATTATAATATGTATCTGTTCGCCGCGTAATATCGGCTGTTAACACATATGTAATAGGGTATAGAATACCCATATGTAAAAATGTAAATTTATATCGTAATAACTGGTATTTTTTCTTTTTTTGTTTTTCAAAAAATAACTTATTTCTTCTTAACATCGTGTATCAATCTATTGGTCTGCTGTATCTGCATAAGGTTCTGCTGTATCTTCATATCTTCATTTGTTTGCTGCTAATTCTTTCATAACATTATATAATCGCGTTGTAATATAGATAGAATCCGGTAGATACACGTTTGTTATATGTCTTCTCAATTCTCCACCATTTAAACCTCTTGCCATACCATCTCTAATCAAACCAAAAAGTCTTCGTAAAGCAGCTATACGATTGTTTGAATATAGTACGTAACTACCGTTTAAACGCTGTGTGACAGCAACTTTCTCGGGTAGTATTGAAAACTTGCTACAAATATAACCATCAGGATAACCAAGATAAAGTATATATTCACCTGCACCAACACTAACACAATCGTAATGATAATTTACCTCTGTAAGTACATCGTCATACAAAGCACAGGAAAACATGCGCATATCATTCCGATAACGTTTATCATTCAACATCATAACCCCAGTCGTATTGTTTTTTATATTTTAAATTTGTCAAATTTTGACTATAATTATAGTTTGAATACGGTGTTGAATTAAGCGCATACCATATTAAATCGTCGTTGAACCATATACCGAAATATTTAATCAAATAATAGCTAAGCTGTGTTTGATGATAATCGATCGTATTTTTAAAATGTAAAAATGTATAATTACATTGTACAAAAAACTTCTCCAACATGTGTGTTAATAATGCATCATCGTCACCGACACGACGCCAACCAATCACATTGATAATAAATTTTTCAGAATTTAATTCTTTAATTACCACACGGCGTACATAACGACCATAACTATAATAATCCACTTCGAAACGTACATAATCAGTTGTACATTCTAATAATTTTAAAAAACTTAAATTTATAAAATAATATTCATCATTGCACAAAAGACGTCGACGCATTGTGTTAAAAATAAAAAAATCATTCTGTCTTCAAACCTTATTTATACAAAAAACACGAGCACCATATAAGTACATGGTCTTTTACAAAAACAATCATTCGTTTACAAAAGCTATTATAAGATGGTAAACTACAGACACAGGTCACGCCGCCGTCATCAAAATGGTGGGAATTTTAAGGGTGCTAAATATCAACGTGGGAAGCCAAAAAACCAAGACGGTGGTTTTCTAAGCAGTTTATTTGGTGGGGGGAAAAAATCAAAATCACAACCAATAAATCTAAATGTAAATCAAAGGCAGGGCAATCAGGGTAATCAATCGCGTCGTTATCAACCCTATCAACCCTACCCCCCACCCCGTTACCATTACTACGCAGCACCACCGCGCAGACGACGTTCAACTAGAGGTAGGAAGAAAAAGGTGTTAAAAAACTGAACTCTACAACGAAAGATAGACTAAAAACATCACTTCTATTATGTAGAAAACGATGAAAAAAAACAAAAACAACAAGGCGGTAATCTTTGGATGTTATTTTTGTAAATTCGTATTTCATATGAATAAAAGCTATTAACAAAATAAAATGTTTTCACATGTTGATGTGTGTCTACATATATAACATAATTTCTCCTTTTCTAATATATACTTGAGTACAGGTTTGAAATGGCATATCCACGGTGGATATAGTGTCAAAGGTCTTTGTTTATTTACGATCCATGTATGTATGTACGTTAGAGAGTCCATTTGCAAACACCGCAACCACCACCAACTTTTGGACAGCTATAAACGCCGTACTGATAGATACACTCTCTACCGCACAGACACTTTATCCTGTAGCGTTTGGCAATAATTTCAACAACCGATTCCTCAACATCACAACAATCTGTCGCACATACATAAAATAGTTGTAATTCATTTGTGGTAGAACAACCTCGCATGTACGATGGTGTCGAATAACTAACACGTTTTAATACAACCTTTGTCTGCACACCACATGTGCAAGGATCCCGATATAACATGTAGAAAATATACTCTTCAATCTCGTTCATAA